AAATGTGACTAACTTCAATCTTAGGACAGGCTCCTTTTCTCTATTATGTACAGCTGAATGTCTTTATGAGGCGAAAGATGTCCGTGTGAGGTGCTTTACGCACGGGGCTGAAATGGATCACATTCTCTCCAGAGGCAGCTGGGTGCCGGTGACTGGCCTGGTTATATGTCTGCTTCTGTGCGCGTGTGTCGTGGACTTGGTTCTCGCGCAAATTCGCTACTCTATCCCAGAAGAGCTGGAGCATGGAGCTTTTGTGGGCAACATCGCCGAAGACCTAGGTTTGGATGTGGCAAAGCTGTCAGCCCGTCGGTTTCGTATCGTTTCTGGCGCAAAGAAACAGTACTTAGAAGTGAACTTGGAGAACGGGATTCTCTTCGTCAACGAAAAGATAGACAGAGAAGAGCTTTGTGAACGAAGCCCAAACTGTTTTTTGCACTTACAAGTGGTCATAGAAAACCCGTTAGAACTATACAGAGTTGAAGTGGAGATTTTAGACGTGAATGACAACTCCCCCAGTTTCCCGTGGAGCGAGTTTAATCTTGACATCACAGAGTCCGCTGCGCCCGGCTCTCGTTTCCCGTTGGAGAGCGCCCAGGACCAGGACGTTGGCACCAACTCTCTGCGCTCATACCTGCTGAGCGCAAACGAGCACTTCGCACTGAACATCCAGACGCGCAATGATGGGAGCAAGTTTGCTGAGCTCGTGCTGGACACCCCACTAGACCGGGAACAGCAGAAAAAGCACGAAATGGTTCTGACTGCTTATGACGGGGGCTCACCGGAACGCTCAGGGACAGCGCTGATAACTATTACAGTTTTGGATGCCAACGATAACGTGCCTGTGTTTGACCGCGCAGTTTACCGCGCGAGCCTGGTGGAGAACGCACCGAGAGGGACGCTGGTGCTGAAACTGAACGCCACAGACCTGGATGAGGGCTCGAACGGGGAGGTTACTTATGCGTTCAGCGGACACGCACCACTCAAGGTGCGCGAACTGTTCAGCGTGGACCCGTACATGGGTGAAATCCGAGTGAAGGGTATTGTGGACTACGAGAAAGCAAGTGTGTATGAGTTGTATGTGCAAGCGAAAGACAGGGGACCCTCGGCCGTGGCCGTACACGGCAAAGTGCTGGTGGACATCCTGGATGTAAATGACAACGCTCCCGAAGTTATCCTCACATCAGTGTCCACTCCCGTTCAGGAAGATGCGCCAGCAGGTACGGTGATAGCGGTTATCAGTGTTATGGACCGGGACTCTGGAGAGAACGGAAACGTTGACTGCCAAATTCCAAACAACGTTCCCTTTCAGCTCCACTCATCTTTTAAAAACTATTACACTCTTGTGACAAGCGAGTTTCTGGACAGAGAAACAGTGTCCGAATACAACATCACCCTCACAGCACGAGACCTGGGCTCTCCTTCGCTCTCTACCAGAAAAACCATTCTCGTTCAAGTGTCTGACATTAACGACAACCCCCCGCGGTTCTCCCAACCTTCATACACAGTTTATGTGACCGAGAATAATGCCCCGGGCGCTTCCATTTGCTCTGTAACTGCATTCGACCCCGATTCTAACCAGAACGCCTATCTGTCTTATTCTATTCTGGAGGGTCAGATTCAGGGCATGCCCGTGTCCACTTATGTCTCAATCAACTCTGATAACGGCAACATCTACGCACTGCGCTCCTTTGATTACGAACAATTAAGAAACTTTCAGATTCTGGTACAGGCACAGGACGCAGGCTTCCCCCCTCTCGCGAGTAATGTCACAGTTAACGTCTTTGTCTTGGACCAGAACGACAACGCACCTGTTATCGTATCCCCACTGCCGAAAAACGGCACTGTGGCCACAGAGGTGGTTCCGCGGGCAGTAGACGCTGGCTATCTGGTTACCAAAATAACAGCGATAGACGCAGACGCGGGGCAGAACTCCCGCTTGTCCTATCAGGTGTTACAGGCTACAGACCCAGGGCTGTTCAGCGTAGCTCTGTACACGGGAGAAATCAGGACTATTCGTCGAATAGTAGAAAAAGACGCAACAAGACAGAGACTGGTAATATTAGTCAAGGACAACGGGCAGCCACCGCTTTCCGCCACTGTCTCCATTGTCCTCACAGTGGTAGACAGCGTGCCCGAGACCCTGTCAGATTTCGGGGACCTCACACTCAGCCCGCAGCCCCCTTCAAACCTCGCTCTCTACTTGATCGTGTCGCTGAGCACTATATCCTTAATATTCCTGGTGGCTATCATCGTGCTGGCTGCAGTAAAGTGCTACAAGGATAGCGAGACTCTCAGCGGGTACAACCTGCCCCCCCTATCCTGCTGCTGCTGCGGGGGGTTTCAGCCAGAGCCGCCCCCGGAGATGTTCAAAAAATCCAACCTCAACCTGCAGATTTCATCCGCCGCCAAAGTGCCCACGAACTGCATGGAGGTGAATGGAAATAGCAGTCTCTCTCAATCATATTGTTATAAAGTGTGTCTAACCCCCGAATCAGCCAAAAGTGACTTTATGTTTCTGAAGCCGTGCAGCCCGGGCAGCACACCGAGGAACAACGAGGCAAAGAGCGCGGAAAACTCGTGGAACGCGCAAAGCCGGAGCGCATCTGTGAACAACGGAGCAACTACTCCCAGTGAGGTAGAGTGAAATCAGCATATAGTATAAAACAAAGGAGAGCGAGCTGCTCGTTTAATTCCACCCCATTCCACACACTGACACAATAACAACTATCAACTCAGTTTCCATCAGATGTGAATCTAGACTGTGACATTCTCCCATGAAGGTCAAATCGCGCATGCCATACAGGCTGGTACTCAACTTGAGGAAAACCTTCAGTAAAGTCACTCTTTTCTTCTATCACTCCCTCGTTAGTGTTTTCGCACAGCGTGTCGTCTCCACAGCGTTTTAATATAATTGTGGCAATAATGAATTCTAATTGTGCTGCCCATGTTAATGTTTTGCACCCGGGAAATGAAATGAGACGACGTGAGATTACATTTTAATTGACATGTTAATGAAAGTGTAAAGCCCCATCTTGCGAGGAGCATATGCTGTGCAAAAAACCGTGTCTGAGAACGAAGTGAGATGTCAATTACTGCGCGAGAGGAAGATGAGATGTAGTTCAGGCAGTCTCCTCTGTTTAGTCTTGGTATCAATTCAAGCATTTAATAATAATTCGAGAACTAATTATAGAGATTGTGACCTGCGAGAAC